AATCTCCAAGAACAGTGTCTGCTACATGGGTGCCATGACAGCTGTTCCTTGTAGCTGTCAGCGGAATCTGAAGAGTTAATGACCCTGTTTCAGAGTGGGAATGTTTAAGCCCCTCATTCCGACCCCAGAGAAAGAAGGGTAAGGTCCTGAACACCAAGGAACAAATAGTTAATAATGGGAAGAAATCAACTCCTGACTCTGAAAGCATAGAAGAATTGCTAGCCCAGGAAATAAGCAACCAGATAAGATGAAAGAGATTAAGTAATAAGGTTAAGTTACTCTATCTGCTCTGTTCTGTGAATATTTTAACTCTTGTGAGTAAAACCTTTCCCTTTTAGTTTCAAGAACTTATGAATTTTTAACAGTTAAAGTTGCGGACAAGGTGTTTGGCTTCCGCTTCCATCTATGCGGAGAAGGCTGAGGTGTGGTGGTCATGACTATCCGTCTCCTCTATATCCCTAGCCCCTCCACAGACCTCACCTCATGGCTCCTCAGGAGATATTTCAGTTTTCTTGTGGGAGGACAAAGACCTGTAAAGCTATGTTGGTGCAAGTAATAGGAGGCCTGGGGATCAGATGAAAAATAAGAGCCCTGTTTAATAGGTCAGGTGGTGCTATGAGAAGAACAAAGGTTTTGGAGTTACAGACTGAGCTTCTAATCCAGGCTCCCGGATTTACGCTTAAGCTGGTGATTTCAGGCAAGTTATTTAACCCTTAAAAAAAATTTTTTTTTATTCATTTATTTATTTTTAAGTAAGTTCTACGCCCAATGTGGGGCTCAAACTTACCACCCTGGGATCAAGAATCACGTGCTCTACTGACTGATCCAGTCAGGTGCCCCTCAAGTTACTTAACCCTTTTGAATCACCTTTTCCCCATCTGTAAAATGGGGTTAATATTATCCTCTGAGGCTATGGTAAGGATGAAAGACAATCTCTGTAAAATGATAGGTGCAAAGTAGGCCCTCAACTAATGGTAGTTTTTCTCATTATTAACAGAAGACAGAAGCATCTGACCTGATCGTATTTAAGCCATCTTGGTATTTCCTGTCCCCAGCAGTGAGATGAAAACTAGAAATATGTTTGTTTGTGTTTTTGTTTTTTCTTTAATATACATAGAGATTCTATTCACGATCTCTATGCATTATAGAATAATGGAAGTTCTACATTTTTAGAAAATTATCCATTATAGCAAATGATTAGCAATATGGCCACTTGCTCACAATGAAACAAATGAATTTTGATGTTAGCCGAGTAGTGGTATAAAGTAAGATTTAGAGTCTTGTGGGCGGAAACTATCTCCTTCAGGGTTCCCGGAAACAGCTGCTCTGGTGTGGGGTACACAGGAAGTGCTGAAAAATGCCTGTTAAGTATTTTATTAAAGTTCACTTTGTACATATTTATGCACACATACATTTTTATAACTCCTTTCTGTACCTTTGAGAAGGAATCTTATGAGAAAAAAATAGTCAAGCAAAGATTTTGCACGGATTGCTAAGGCTGTGCTTGAACAATGATTCATCCTTTCTCATTGTCAAGAACTCCTAGTGCTGTACAAAACCAGCAAAGCTGGATAGGCAAAGAGATGGGAAGGAAGTAAACAATGTGAGCTGCGGTTCTATTAGCACCTGGACTTCAAGTAAGTTTTGATTTAACAAATATATTACTTTTACAGTTTTAAACCCTGATTTTTTTCCCCTCCAATCATGGACATAAGATCATGGATGTGTCCCTACCCCCCCACCCCAATACATATACCCCCTTTTACAGCTGCATTCTTGGCTACGCTACAGCTGAATCAAACATTAAGTATAGAACTAAGGACTGAATGAAAGTGTCCTTGCTTTATTGTTCTCTTGAGATTTAAGTACTGATGTGCCAGATCTACAGCAGTTTGGTTCTTCTGTATACAAGCTGAGCTTACAACCCATCATTTTGTCCATAATCTAAAATTTTGATGTCGGTTGAGGATTCCAGAAAATATTATCATACAGTAGATTAGGATTTTTAAAATCAAAGTTATGTGAGCACATAGCATGAAGTTTAATCATCTTTTGGTTATCTATTGCTGCGTAACAAATGACCCTAAAAATTCAATGGCTTAAGACAACGATAAACTGTTATTATCTCATTATCTGTGGGCCAAGGATTTGGGACAAGCTCAGTTCTGGTGGTTCTGGAGTCTCTCAGGGCCTTTCACGAGGTTGTAGTCAAGGTGTTGGCCATGGATGCAGACATCTGAAGGCTTGTCTGGGGCTGGAGGATCTACTTCCAAAGTGGCTCATTGTCATGGTTGGCGAGCTGGTGCTGGATGTTGGCAGGAAGGCTCAGTTCCTCCCCATGTGAACTTCTCCATAGAGCTGCTTGCGTATCTTTACACATGACAACTGGCCTCCCTCAGATCAACTGAGCAGGGTGGAAGCTGCAAAGTCTTTTATGATCTAGCCCCAGAAGTCACATTTCATGCAATGGTCTGTTGATTACACAAGTCAGACCTATTCACTGTGGAAGGGGACGACACCAGACAAGAATATTCAGAATATTCAACGTGATCCAAGGGTCACCTTGGAGGCTGGCTCCCAGAGTTCTGCAGTTTGATACATGCATTTACAAATCTCTCGCACCTGTGGAGTAGAGGTGGGCTGATGGAGGGGGTATTGGGTGGGGGGAGATTTCTCTCTCTCCTGAGATAATACTTTTTAAAAAAATATTTATTTTTACTTATTTTAGAGAGATAGAGAGAGTGCAAGCAAGCAGGGGGAGGGGCAGAGGGGGAAGGAAAGAAACCCAAGCTGACTCCACACGGGGCTCAGAGCCCAATTTGGGGCTCATTCCCATGACCCTAAGATCATGACCTGACCCAAAACCAAGAGTCAGATGCTCAACCAACAGAGCCACCCAGGCACCCCTGAGATAATAATTTGTAATTTTTAGCTGATTTCTTTGGTATGCTTACTTTTCTTTTTTTTTTTAAGATTTTATTTATTTATTTGACAGAGAGCGACACAGTGAGAGAGGGAACACAAGCAGGGGGAGTGGGAGAGGGAGAAGCAGGCTTCCCGCTGAGCAGGGAGCCCGATGCGGGGCTTGATCCCAGGACCCTGGGATCATGAGCTGAGCCGAAGGCAATCGCCTAATGACTGAGCCATACCAGGTGCCCCTGGTATGCTTACTTTTGATAGAGATTTTCTCTCTCTTCACTTTTTTCACTGCCTGCCCCACTCCGTGTACCTATTTTTAAGATGCTCTCTCTACTCTTCTCATTCACATTCTAGTCTACTGGGATTTGCAGGCTGGGGTGCTTGGGTGGCTCAGTTGGTTAAGCAACTGCCTTAGGCTCAGGTCATGATCCTGGAGTCGCAGGATCGAGTCCCACATCGGGCTCCCTGCTCACTGGGGAGTCTGCTTCTTTCTCTGACCCTCTCCCTTCTCATGTGCACTCTCTCTCTCTCTCTCATTCTCTCTCTCTCAAATAAATAAATAAAATCTTAAAGAAAAATAAAAGTCTGCAGTGCTGATGAAGGGACTGAGGTGCCCTTCTCTGAATAAAACATTTAAATTTCAGGGAATGATTTCTGTGGAATGATATTTAACCGAAAACATGTACAACTTGGACTCGTGCTTAAAATAAAGATGTACAACTCGTTCATCACAGAAAGAAATAGAATTCATTATCTATGTAATAACGACAATTGGGTATCAAGCACTCAGGTGACATATATTTTTTAAAGATTTTATTTATTTATTTGACAGAGAGAGACACCGTGAGAGAGGGAACACAAGCAGGGGGAGTGGGAGAGGGAGAAGCAGGCTTCCCGCTGAGCAGGGAGCCCGATGCGGGGCTCGATCCCAGGACCCTGGGATCATGACCCAAGCCGAAGGCAGACGCTCAACAACTGAGCCACCCAGGCGCCCCTCAGGTGACATATTATGAAGTTAGATTTATTAGATGTGATTCCTGGCCTCAAGGCCACCACCTACGGAAGAGCCAAGAGGAATTTAGATATCTGTAAAGGCGGTTTGATGACTGCATATTCATTAAAAGTATACCTACTTAGTCCCCATATAAACTTTTAGTAGATTGACACTTGCCAACTCTATGGGTCCCTGTGCTGCCTCCAGTGCCCTGGAGGACCCGCTTCATGGGAAGATACCAGCCTACAGAATCCTCAGAAGGAGAGATCCTTACTCTGAGGACTCCCTCTAAGTCTACCAGTTATCGATCACCACTTCCTAGGGTCAGCTTCCACCTCACAGTCACTTCTAAGTTTTTATTCTTTTTTGGAATTGCTGTGGACCAGGAAGCAAAAGAACCAATCGGTATTTGATTTAAGTCTAAAAATGGGTATTAGTACTATTAATAAAATGAAACACTTAAGGCTGCCCAGGCAGTATTAAATGAAGGCAGTCCCTGGGACCACCCAGGATCTAGCTATAGGGTTGGAGGGAGTCCAGGGCTGGGTAGGTCAGAGTAGCAGAGCTGTGAGCTAAGCCAGGGCAAACTCTGAGCTGCTAGTTCTGAGTTACTTGTGCAGAGGAACGGCAAAGGGAGCCTCACTGGGGGCATTTCCAAGAGGGCACATGCCTGGTCCCTAGGGTGTGGGTGAGGTTAAGGGATGGTAAGAAGGGCCTTTGCACTCAGTCCAGGCAGCTGCTTCGGCTTACCAGCTGTGTGCCCTTGAGCAGATGATTTAACCTCTTGAAGTCTTAATACCACTTCTTCAAAATGGGAGATAAAAGTACCTGGCATGTAAGGTTGTTGTAAGGATCAATGAAAAATGCATGTAAGGTGTTTAGCATACTGCCTGGCATATAATAAGCTTTCAAATATTAGCATTTATTTAAAAACACATACATACACCTTGGAGCCTCACTGCATTTCCCCGTGGGAGCCCATTTTTAATAGGTAGGACATTTTAAAATGAAGATCCTCTTTTTTTTCTTTTCCAATAATTAAAACTTCTTGGTTAAAGAGCAGTGTTACAGCAAGAATAGGTCTTATGGAATAGCAAGTAGGATGTGATTATGGGATGAAAGGTATCCACATGTGCATACATCGAAGACTCTAGGTCTTTGGAAGGTATGGGTTAATATAGGAAGGGTCCCTTTAAGAGTTAGGTTTTGACCTGAGGGCTGGAGGGGAGAATATGGAAAATTTTAGACAAAGACCACAAAAAGAAGGAAGATAATCATCTAAATAAGTTAGGCAGAAGGGGATGAAGTTAGGTGTTCATTAGCAGGGAAGCTTTCAGGGAAAGAACCACATCCTATGTAGCTTAAGCAAAAGTAGGAATTGATCAGATTAGCTCACGGAAGTGAAATCCAGGCTAATCTTGCTTGGCTCCAGGCAGGGCTGGATCCAGGGCTCAAATGGTGTGGAATGGGAGGGCCCCTACTGCTACCTGGTAGACAGATTCTCTCCAAGTGGTAAGCAGGACTCACATTATTTAAGCTCAGTGACTCAGGAGAAAGCCTTTTCTGAGAACCCAGATTTCAAAGAGGTCTCTGGCTTGACATGGGTCACTGATCCAACTCTCTCCCGGTCGCTGTGGTCCCGGAGCAATTGGGGTGCACTGGGGAAGTCAGCTGATTGAACCACATGGATGGGTTCACCACCACCAAGAGGAGTTTTGCTCCCAGCAGACAGGGCAAATGATGCGGGGTAGGCAACAGGAACACAGCCAGCCACGGTGGGTAGCGCCGGGCCTCACCTCCCACACCATCTGCCATCGCCTCATGGGCATCCATACCTTCTGTTTCAGCTTGACACCAGCCCCCTGAGCCAACAGGACCCCCTGAGGTGATTGTGGAGTCATGTGATCACATGAGTTCCTGGAAACCCCATCTTACAGCAGTCAGTTGTCAAGAGGACTGAATGTAGACAGTTCCTTTGTTCCAAGGGATTTGGAGCTATGACAGAATTCACCGAGTCCAAGGTCAGCGGAGTGAAGAGTGGAGTGACGGTATTTCTCAGGCAGTATTAAATGAACGCAGCCACCAGGACATTTGGGATCTGGCTGTAGGTTGGATGGAGTCTAATGCTGGGGAGGTCACAGAGGAAGAGCTGTGACTTACCCCAGCTAACATGCGGACCTGCTATATTGAGCTACTTGCACAGCTTCATTTCCAGTGTCCTTCCCATGTGCTGTATGCGGTCTTCAGTGCAACAGAATATTATTCTTTCTCCCTAGTAGAGAAATCTCATGCACACTTTTAGAGAATTGTTTATTTCCAGTAGGAATCGGCACCCATCCTGTGCTTGCTGTGGATGCTTAGAAGACTTCTGGGTGAGGAGGCACATGGGGCTGGGGCATGCACCAGTGGCAAGAACAAGCACAGATTACTAGAATGCTTTAGAAAGCCTTTTCTGCTTCAGATAAGTGGCTAATTAAATTTGGGGTTGGCTATTGGAAGAGTGCCAATTATGGAAACGAGCATCTGTTGATCACACTTTGCTTTCAGGCGTTTGGCTCCTTACTAGAGTGCTGTTGGAGAGAGAGCAGGGAACTGCTGCTAGAACCACGAGAGGAAAACATGGTAGGAGGAGTGATTCATCATATTTACTTTGAGGCGTTCGTCTTGTAACAAGATTAATTCAGTAGGACTCAACTTCCAGAGAAAAATGGACCGTTTATTGTTTTAGATTCAGGCTTAGGCACAGCAGGTGGATTTTCCAAATTGCCGCATCTGACATTTCCTAGAAATATAAGCTAGCATTATTCCATTTTTTGGCAACTACAAAGTTCTATTTGAACATTCTACAAGTCAGTTGGCAGGGCTGGGAATTTCGAGCACTTAACTATCACTCTTGAGCTTGAGCTTGATTTTTGTCAAGTGATTTTTAACCATGAGACATTCCTTTTTTAGATCTGGAAATCATCTCAGAAAATGTAAGTCATTTGCCAAAGGTCACTGAATAATATACAGATTAGAGCTGGGAACTGATGAATATTGATTGGAATCCAGTTCTCTTATATCTCGGAGTCACTTATGGCAAGTGACTGCGTAATTTGTGATATGTGTAACTTTGTTCAGCACATGGAATCCGTGCAGATTTTTGACATGTGTCTTCTCCTGGCTTTTCCCCCTGGTACTTCAAGGCCTTGCTTATTGTGATGTCTGCTCTTACCAGAAGTGAGAATGGAAAGCTGTAAACCATATGTACTCTTCTTCTAGAAGCAAACTTTCCTGCTGTGTTGGGCAGACACAACAGGCAAATCCACTTTGCCAGCAGTAATACCGCTGTCCAGGTAACGATGTCTTTTGATCTCTTCAATTGCAAATGGTAGGCCTAAGCAAATTAAATCCAGGCAGGTACGATCAGCTAATGACTTCTTCATTGTTAGACATGTCTGGTCTTCACCAGTTGTCTCCAAGATATCACTTCAATTCACTATTTTAATATATTTTTCTACTCCTTTGGGGTTTCTCTATTCAATAATCCTTTAGGTTATTCTCTATTGTGTTTGCTTGTTTGTTTTATGGGTGTCAAAGATTTCCCCCATATTACTCTGCATTTTTGTGGTTATATACGGTAACTGTAGTCTTTTCTTGCTTATAGATTTCTGGTAATTGAAAATAACTCTTAGCTTGATGAGATGCAGCCATTTGCTGGGGGTGGGGTTGGGGATGTAAGTTTGAGTTGATGAGTTTGGATTTAGACATGTTTATTTAGGGGCTTCCAGTACACCTGGCCACATAGAGCCATTATGCACTTAGACACGGTTTGGAATTCAGAAGAGAGTTCAGGGCTAAAGATAGATCTTTGGAATAATTAGTTTATAAGTAACATGGGAAACCGTGAGAATAGATGTAAACATCCAAAGGGAAAAAAGGCCGGTGTTAAGGGTACTCAGGGGAGGTGTGAATGGCGAAGAGAGAGAGGCCAGTGCCTTCAAGGAGACTGGCAGTGAGAAGGTGAGGAAGGAACGGAGCGGTTCTTCAGGATGGAGAGTGTTGATCATTTCCTTTGGGAGGAGAGGAATGGGGCAACTAGTGGCAAGGGAGAAACTGAGGAACGAAGAGAATGGGGCCTGTTGATGGCTTGAGGTTTCAGGATGGTGGGGACAGTATCAGGACGATGATGGTGGGGCTTGGAGGGGGGGCCCGCAGTCCTGCAGCTGGAAGGCTGGACGTGAGTGAGACTGTGAGTTAGGAAGCAGAAAGTAGAGAAATTGAGAGAGTGATCAGTCTTGGTGCCCTTCCCCTTCTCCGTGAGGTAGGAGGGGCACCTGCTGAGCATGAAAGGAGCACTGGTGGCATTTGGGAACATCTTTTTTTTTTTTAATTTTTATTTTTTGGGGCATCTGGGTGGCTCAGTCGTTAAGCGTCTGCCTTCGGCTCAGGTCATGATCCCAGGGTCCTGGGATCGAGCCCCGCATCGGGCTCCCTGCTCTGCGGGAAGCCTGCTTCTCCCTCTCCCGCTCCCCCTGCTTGTGTTCCTGCTGTCGCTATCTCCATCTCTGTCAAATAGATAAATAAAATCTTAAAAAAAAAAAAGTAAATTTTTATTTATTTTTTGATAGAGAGCGAGACAGCGAGAGAGGGAACATAAGCAGGGGGAGTGGGAGAGGGAGAAGCAGGCTTCCCGCAGAGCAGGGAGCCCGATGCGGGGCTCGATCCCAGGACCCTGGGATCATGACCTGAGCCGAAGGCAGACGCTTAACGACTGAGCCACCCAGGCACCCCTGGGAGCATCTTTATAAATTAAAATATGACACACCAGATTTTGCCACACACAGATGACACTTCCATTTTGGAACCTGAGTCATGTTTCACCTTTTTCTGAGAGCTAAAACATCATGATCAAGGGTCAATAACTTATACCAAAAGCCATGGAAGTATGCAAAACTCCCATGGCTTGTAAACCTCAGCCTGAGAATTTCTGTCGAGCCCAGGGCTTGCCTTGAGATGCAACCTGGTGTAATACGCAAATCTCTGCAGAACTATGCAGATCTGAGATGTAAAGATGGATGGCTGAGTAATTTATGCCTTCACTCACCCGATAAATTGACTCACTCTTTGAGAATGTTATATCTTCTTTGGAGATCGAGTAAAAACTCCTTGGGGTAGGGAGGTCCTCTGAGAAGTGTTAGTGCTCCTGAAGTAATAATAGACTGGAAGGCCTTTTATTATAGATGAGTGTGACAGCTAAGAAACGGAAAGAAATAAATGTGAGTCATACAAAAGCCTCATTCTGTGACCTTCAGCCCTTGTCAATCATATTTAGGAAAATGTGAAGAACTTCAATATTTTATATTTTATATAATACTTATAAATGCTATATATGTAAGCTTCACCTCTGATGAAAAATGAGACAATTGTGTCGTTTCACTTTCTTCCTCTGGTTTAACATTCTTGCTGCTGCATGAGGCAGAAGCTTCTTCTTTAGCAGAGTGATCAGCCATGAGGGAAGGGACCTGGAGGAGACATAGGGTCCTGCGGCTTATGGGAGCCCTTAGAATTTTAAAATTTGCTCCTTTCTCTTTGGGACTTCTTACTTTTGCCTCAGGTTTCCCATTTCAGAGCCTAACCTGGAGTCAGCCCAGAGCAGGCTCACCCCACGCATCCACACAGCTCAGCAGAAGCATGCCTGTTCTTGTCCAGGCTTCACACAGCACCTCGGGGTTGGGCACAAAGTAGCTTTTCAAAACCTCAGGTACAGCCGCCAGAACCTGTTTCTTCCTGGCCAGTGGCCAAGGTCGAGGCCACTGGTGCTGTGGTTCCTGAGGTCCTGCTCACTGGCACAGTCAGTCACACACTGGTTGGGGCCAGGGCAGGGAGGCACAGCCTAGGGGGGACTTTGCCCTTGCTTTGGCCAAGCCAACAACACGAGACCCTTGAATACGGAGTGAACAAAGGGACAAAGTTAAAGAAAATTAAGACAAGAAGTATTGGAAAGATTTTGTCTTTAATTACCATTTCCAAACTTTTTCTTTTTTCTTTCCTTATTTCTTGAAAAATTATTTATTTAATTGAGAGAGAGAGTTCGAGAACATGAGTGGGTGGGGGGAGGGGCAGAGGGAGTGAGAATCTCGAGCAGGCTCCACGCCCAGCTTGGAGCCTACCTCAGGGCTCTATCTCATGACCCTGAGATCATGGCCTGAGCTGAAACCAAGAGTCGGATGCTTAGCCGACTGAGCCACCCAGGTGCCCCCAAACTTTTTCTTTTTTAAAGAAAATCAGTTAATAAGCACTTACTGCATATCAATCATTTGTGGCTTATACATACCTTCTAGACTGCATAACACACTCATTGTGGCACAGCTGTAGGTTTGAACGTCCCCTTAGACCTCCTCTAGTTTTTCCCTTTTCAGAACATTTGTCTCTTCTGTCCTGTCCTAGATCCTGACGAACCTCTAGGAAAAAAAAGAGATTCTTTTGTCAGACACAGATCCTGAGGTTTTTCCTCCAATGCTGTCAGATGAAAGAGAGGACTCCTCTCCTGGCTCGACCCATAACGCCAGCTCTGTCTGCTCATCATGTCCGTTGCCCAAAGCTGGAGAAGCAGCAAGGAGCCATCAGAGATATGGGAGTGATCTGTCCCCGGCCATTGTCATGATCCCTTGGACATCCTCCTCCTGGGCATGTGAATGGATTTGGAGATAGTTTGTGAGCATCTTTTTTCCTGTTTTTATCAACTGTTCCCTGTTTTCTACTGAATCTTCAAACACAGCTTGGGTCTTATCATTGGCTGTATCAAGGATAGTGTTTTCCTGCTTCTGGAGAGCTTAAAAAACAGACCATACTTCTGTTTTTTCTGAGAATTTAGTTCTTCTATATGTAAGGAGATAAAAACACTTTCTAAATCTGTAGTCCTTAAGTTTATCTTCCCTCTTCAGCTTCACCAGGAAGCCAACACGACCCATGTGCTTCAGGGTGGAGGTAAGAGGTGAGAGGTAAAGTGAAAAGATTGTTCTGAACTTAGGTGTCTGCCAAGCTTTTCAGTCCCTGGGCCTGGGGGACTGCTACGGTAATCTAAAATCAACAGAAGAAAGCCAGGGCCAATGAGCAGGGCCAAGTGCATGGCAGGAATCAGGGTCATGAGTTACAAAATGATCTGGGAGTGAAATTATGAGCCTACATAAAGCTTTCACAGGGCTTGATTCCAGGAAATAAAGGGAATACATTTCTAGGGTAGTTAATTTAAGGCTGGAGCTTTCAGAACTCTAACACCTTTTCGTTTTCCCTACGTGGTTGGGAATGTGGTGGGCACCCATCCACATTATTTTCTGCTCTGGAGGGAGTTCCCCGTTGCATGTAGTATTGGACAGGTGCAGTGGTCTACGTTGTGTCAAGGGTGATCCCCCCTCTCCCTAGCTCAGACATCCAGGGTATGGCGCAGGACCTAGGCTCAGCCAGTCAGCCCCTCCTCTCTGGGATTTTGAATATCAAGGGAGTGAAGCAAAGATTCAAGGATAGTCCAGAGGCCACTCGTGGTGACAGTGTTATGCTGTGGACAGCAGTGGGCATGCACACTGTCCTGAGGCATGACCTTGGCTGTGGTCCTTATTGCTCATTCTCTCTTGACCTCCAGCCCATTTCCTGAACCTTGTTCTCCAGCCCTCCCGTCCATCCTGTGAACTATTCAACACCCTTTCACTACATCCCAGCTTAGATAAAGTTAGGCAGGGCTTGCCTCTGTTGCCTGCAACCAAGAGTTAGATTGGGCCATCTGATGTTCCTGTCTTCAAATCTGAAGAGATGTTCCCTCTGCTCCTAGTTGGTCTCTGTTAAGAATAGTCTGGAAGTGGGGCGCCTGGGTGGCTCAGTCGGTTAAGCTGCTGCCTTCGGCTCAGGTCATGATCCCAGGGTCCTGGGATCAAGCCCCGCGTCAGGCTCCCTGCTCAGTGGAGAGTCTGCTTCTCCCTCTCCCTCTGCCTGCCTCTCTGCCTACTTGTGCTCTCTATCTCTGTCAAATAAATAAATAAAAATCTTAAAAAAAAAAAAAAAAGAATAGTCTGGAAGTAAGCCCGCTATACTCTTTCACATAAGAGCCCCTGTATGTAGAGATTTTAAGACAAACCTAGAGTCAAGGGTTTGGGGTACGTTCCCAGAGTGGACACAGCTAACTGAATATAGAGAGAAATTTCATCAAGTATTGGCTTTAAATACTCAACGTTTGCAGGCGTGACTCCCAGGCCACGATTCGAGGTGGCAAGAGATACTGAGTTTTTTCATGGATTTAAATCAACTGAATTTCAACTTGACATTTTCCTAAGCAGCAAGAAGGACATGTATTCCCAGGCAGAACTGACTTTCTCTAGAGCCCCTTCACCCCAAGGGTCATTTGGAAGCCCAGGGTCTCAGAGAGACCAGATACGGGGGGAAGCCCTGTGGCCATCAGTCACTGAATTGTACCTGTGACTGCTGAGACACCTGTTGTCCTGGCCAGTGCAGTCCCTTCAATCGTGCTGGTTGCTTTCTTCCCTGAGGCACTTGAAGCATTGGGATCTTTGGCAAGGCTGCTGCCTAGGGTTCTGTCTCCTCAGGTGTGCCACGAAGCTAAGCCATTGAAGATTTGGTCGCCTCCTTGGGGCACTAGTATGGAGCTGGCTTTGGTCCCTGATGCTTGAGGAATGCAGAGACCTTTGTCCCTCTGTCTCATCTCCCAGAATGTTTTATGTCTGATGAACATTCCACTTTCTTCAGGTTTCCCTTACGAGACCCCTCAACCCCAGTATATTAATCAATGGCTTAAGCTTTTGAAAACAAAAGGCAAGAAGGGACCATCTCATGGGCAACTTGTGTTTCTGCCCTGCCACAAACCTCCTTTGAGACAAGGAAGTACAGAACCCAATCTTCACTCAAATAGGACAAGTGAGAGGGGTCACTACAAGGTGTGGGAGGGGAATAAAAACACATTCATAGATTAAAAAAAAGTCTGGCCAATAACATTTAAAATTAATAAGGGGAAAAATAAAATAGAAGTGCTAGAATGCTATCAGCTGCCAAATAGAAGGGTTAATTGGATTTGTATTTGGTGTCACTATCGTCTGTGATTTCTTAAAGTTTCATAAGAGATGCAATCTCATTCTGAGCTATTCTGGTATGAATAATGTCACTCCCTCTTTCCCCACCCCAACTTCTTAGCGTCAGGAATGAGGAGTGATTCTTGTCTATATTCTGTAAACCAAGTCAGCAACTTGAGCTCTAATTAATACGGGACCTCCCCTCCAGCTGGAAGCAAATATTTGTGTTACAAATGAAATAGTGTGTAATCCATAATCGAGTTTCTTATTGAGTCCCTGTTCCTGCTTCTTTGAACAGAATCCACTTACGATAGGCTTTCCAATCTTGGGTAGTAAGGTGGCTTAGGGAAGTATCTCTGCTGGCATGAGAGCCTAGTGATTCAATGATACATTTAAAATGAGCATATATAAAAATTAATAACAGAAATATCTTATGATCCAATAATTCTATACTGGGTATTTACCCAAAGAAAATGAAAACACTAATTTGAAAAGATATGTGCACCCTCATGTTTACTGCAGCATTATTTACAATAGCCAAGTTATGGAAGCAACCCAAGTGTCCAGCCATAGATGAATGGATAAGGAAAATGTGGTATGATGAAATATTACTCAGCCATAAAAAGAATGAGATCTTGCCATTTGCAACATCATCAATGGACCTAGAGGGTATTATGCTAAGTGAAATAAGTCATATTGAGACAGACAAATACCATCTGATTTCACTCATATGTAGAATCTAAAAAAAAGAAACAAAACAAAATGGATAACGAAAAGCAGAATCAGACCTATACATACAGAAAACAAACTGATGGCTGCCAAAGGGAAGGCAGGGGGGAGGATGATTATCATTTCTGATTATCATTTCTGATTATCATTTATCCAATAACAATATGTGTCAAGTGCCTGTTAGGGGACCTGAGCTGCTAGAGGGCAGGGTGTACATTGGTGAACAAGCTGTGGAGTCCTAGCCCCCACAGAGCATGAGCGCCCGAGAGGGATGTAAGATATGAGCGAGGAGTCATCCCAGCTGGAGCCGATCTCCCCTCTCTGATCTTCGAGAACTTACACTGCCTCCATAATGAAGATACAGCAGTAACAAAGGCTTCCCTTGAAAATGTGCTACAGGCGGGGCATCCTTCTGCCTGCTCACCACATAGTAACTCATTTACTCTTCACAGCACCCCTGTGAGGGGCCACTGTTTCCTCTACCCTTTTTACAGGAGAGGGAACTAAGACACAGAGAGGTTAAGAAACTCACCTGGGGTTTCAAAGCTAGTAAGTGATGAGTTTGCTTCCTTGAAAGCCAGGAAAGTAAAAATTTTAACAAATTCTGTCTGGGCAAAAATAAAATATTTAAGCTTAAAATAAGGTGAGCTTTAATACACCTATTTTTCAATTTTCAATATTTTCTCAACTACGTTAATGTCCTGGGACAAAATTAACCGTTAAACAATACACCGAAACATGTATATGGGGTTGCACATTTTTTCTTTTGCTTCGGGCTCCAGTATGACCTGGCGTAGCGTTTTTGGAGCCTGTCTGTATTTAAACTTCTGCTATTTTGTGCATCATGAATTTTTAAAATATTGCGTTAAAATATTATTCATCTTGATTACAGAGTTTTTTTTTCTTTTGGCATCCTCTTAAATTCTGTGCCCCAGGTGAGTGCCTCACTCTCATCCTGGCCTTGAGGGGTAGAGCTGGGACTCAAACCAAGGCAATCTGGCTCCAGGTCTGTAATCTTGACCATTACGCTACTCATGTCCTAGAATTGTTGATTTTTTTTTTTTTTTTAGAGAAGGGGGGTGGAAGAGCAGAGGGAGAGGGAGAGAGAGAATCTTAAGCAGGCTTCACGTCCAGCGTGGAGGCTGATGCGGGGCTCGATCCCATGATCCTGAGACCATGACCTGAGCTGAAATCAAGAGTCAGATGCTTAAACAACTGAGCCACCCAGGTGCCTCTAGAATTGTTGATATTTATATTTATGTCTATATATCATTGTTTTTTCCAATTAAACTAAAAAAAGTCTTGAGGGCATAGACCATTTATTATGCTGCCATCTTGTATCCCCAAAGCATCCAGCCTGGTGTCTGTTTGGCACATAAGGGTGGTTGATAACGGTTGGCTAAAGGGAAAAAAAAAGAGACTTTTCTAGTGTGCTGAAATTTGCCATCATCACCAGCTACTTTGACCACAATTTGTAGTTTTGCTTTAATTTCCCTCTTATATGTTGCATTTTAATTTTATGAAAACAATGAACTGAATAACCTATCTCCCATAAAGATGATGAATGAACACATATAAATGAAAACGTTATGCAAATAAAATGCTTTCTTCAACCCAGTGTTGTCTTTCTGGTGAAACTCTCCACATTTTTTTGGAAACCTATGGCTTCTGGGAAGAAATCCTAGAAGTTTTAGTTTTGTAAGTGAACAGATCAGTGTAATAAAAAGAAGGTGGAATGTTCATTGACATAATTATCAGCTCTGGTTACAGTCTGGGCGTTTCTGAAGTACAACAGTTAAGTGATCTATGTTTCCCTACACACTGGGAGCTCTGCTCATCACCTCCCACACCCGGCTGGGAAATCCTCCTCACCTGTGGGTGCACCCATCTTAGTTTAGTAATGTCACGCCTGGTTGGTTGTATTTTCTCCAGCACTACTTCTGAGGATGATGGCGGGGGGGTGGGGTGGGGCAGGTATTTTCTCTCCTGCCCCTGAACTACTAGAAATGTGGCTTTTTAAGAAGATGGGATCAATGCTGGATGCAGCGACTGCTTCGGGGTGCATTATATAAAACCCTTTGGGAGTCTTGAAGACAAAGGAAATGAGTCGCACTAGGGAACATTTATAGCAGGTGACTTCTGGAGGGCTCCTCCTGCGGAGCAATGTCATTGTCAAAGTTTCCTAGGGCACCTGGGTGGCTCCGTTGGTTAAGTGTCTGACTCTTAATTTTGGTTCAGGTCATGGTCTTGGAGTTGTGAGATTGGGCCCCAGCCACGGGCTTTGCACTGGGCATGGAGCCTGCTTAAGATTCTCTCTCTCCCGCTCCCTCTGCCCTCCCAACTCTAAAAATAAAAAAGAGGTATCCTGAGTCAAAGGTTCCTACCCCATTCCTGCCCATCTAGTCCTGGGCTGGGTTGAAAAATATACAAATCACTTTGATTTGTTTGTCTGCATATTAAAATCCTCTGAGCAGGTTTTAGCTCCGCTTGAGTTTTATTTTTGCGGATTCTATACTTACTAGTTTATTTACTCATTTTACAAAAGAGAATAGAGCCAGGCAAACTGTCACTTGCTTGAAATTTGGGAATCATATGGATGCTCCCTTATGCTCCTGAGTTCTGCGGGGAATAAAATACTGCACTCAGTCTAACTCCAAAATCATATTATTATCAGATGCAGTATGAAGCATGCAGCTATTGAAATTTGTGTAAGGTTTGTCTCACTCTGAAGAAATGGGGTGAAAGGGACACTGGTTAGAATTGTCAGTTTGCTCAAAAGACCGCTTTTTGAACATCACCCCATCAGATTTGTACCCTGAAAACCCTGCTCCAACCCTGGTGAAAACCCAACCTCATGTATTTGGGGGGAAGAAGAAACAGTCCTGGAGAGCATATTATTTTCTAGCTAGCTACTCTGGGGGCACATCTATATTCATCACCTGGACCACTCTAGATTGTCATGGGGTGGCAAAAAGCTTAAGCTTAACCAAGACTCAACTCCACTGTAACTTCTGTTTTCATAAGCTGAGAAGAGAAAATAGACCATTAGGTCCATCCGAGTGAGAGTAAGCTGGTGAGATTCAGTCTCCAAATATATGAAGGAGAGTAACAAAAAAAGTTGATAGAAAGTGAGGGAAAAGTCTTGTAAAGGGTGAACAGGGGCAGGGCCCAGTGCCTAAGTCCTGGTACTGCCTGTCACCTCTCTGTGTTGTCAGGGAAGGCAGGAAGGGGTGGAAAATAAGGCAGCCAGAACTCCATCTGCGGTAAGCCACACACAGACAAGGACACAGCAGAAGTCAATAAGCATCTACCCCAGAATTAAGGCTGGTTCTATGTACAGTGGCGGAGTGCTTGACATTTAAAGACATAGGGCTTAAAATTGACAGCTAATCTTAGATTGAGATGTCAAAAGATGAAGAAGTAACAAGTGGGGAGGTCTGGAAGGATGCGATCCAAGGAGCATGAATCGAGAGCCCGTCCTGGGGCCAGGGGCTGGCCTCAGGGCTGGAGACACAGACTTGATTAGACCTCATGCTGCCCGCATGGAGCTGTGATCTCTCCAGGATCGTGTGTCTCTCGTACTTGAGCCCACAACAAGTTTCCAAGATTGAATGTGTGAGATAAATTGCAAGTACACTTTCAAAACCCTGTACTAATACGTATGGAAATTATAACTAGAAAGGTCTGCAGCAATAGGACTCCCTTGGCTTCCCGCACTTTGGTGGGATTGCCCACACTTTCAAACATTTTTATATGAAACACCTCCCATGCGGTGTTTCTCCAATACCTGCCCTGACTTTTCTCCTGCTGCGTTCTGCTCTACCACACATTGCCTCCCCAGAGAGCTAATTATAAGCCTCTATTTTCGTGCCTACTTACCACGAAAGCCTGTGTCAAAAGCAGCACATACCTATATAGAAATTTCAAGGGGTGTAATTCCAGAACAGTGATGAAGCAAAGCTCCTGAATATGTTCACCACCCAAGTGGTGGTTCAGGGAAGTTGAAAAAGGTCTGGTCAGGTCAGTGCTGGCCAAGTGGATGCCTAATAAGTATTTTTTGAGAATAACCATCACGATAATGAAGCAATGACCTACCGCCAGCCTATTTGGGACATTTTTTATTTACATGAAGAGGGAGAGGAACCCCTGCATTCATCAAGGGCAGAGCTTGGGCTGCAGCAGCTTTGTGGGTAAGTTCACACCTTTGCAGACCCCTAAGGGTTTTCACCAGCCCTTCTCTATCTTCAGAAATCATGTTTCTGCTATAACCGTGGCTTAGAATATTTGAACATTGGGCGTTACAATTTGGATTTTTAATCATAGCTTGCTAATGTTACAGTCTCTTTTAGGTCTTTAGTCTCTGAGCCAGTTCTGATTTTCTGGGATGCTATTCTCACTTCCTCTTCTCCGTTTCAGGGGTCGCAGGTGGAAGGGGTGGGTGGGCAGGGGGAGTAGACATAGGAACAGTATAAGTGTTTATTTACCTACAGCTTGGATTTTGAAGAGGAAACTCAGACCTTCCCAAGTGTCTCTTATCATCTATTTCAGGTCTAGAGCTCCGCAGAGATGCCCCTCCCCTCAATACAAAACAAACAAAATCTCTTTTCAGAGCTTGCATGCACTCTCACGTTTATAGATGGAAATATTCGCGGGACTCACCATCTTCAAAATATCTGCCTTATTGCAGATCCTTAGTTTCTGTGGGATTATGTAAAACCTTGTGTTGCTAAAAACCCTCCTTCTGTCTTCCTTCCATCTTGAAGCCAGGTTGAGCAGTTTATGAAATTGACAGCAGGGAAATGTTTTACCTGCTCAACTTGTTCTTCCGATCTTATTCGGGTTTCAGTCAAATATTTCTACACTGTGCTGGGCGTGGGAGGTCGTGACTCACCAGGAGAGAGGACGTGGTTGCACGTCCAGGGAACTGCAGGATGATGGAGGAACTTCGCATTTGGGCTTCATGCCATTTTGTTCCTTCCCTTGTTCTCTCTCAGATATTTACTTGGCTCCTTGTTCCCAAGGAGAACCAGTCAGTTGAGTATTCAAATATTAAATTAATTCCTCTTTCTGCACAAGTGGCCAAGCCAGTTTTTACTGGAAATGGAGACCAGTGCCTGAGGAACAATGGGGGTGGGGAGTGGGGAGTGGGGGCTGTGGGGAGGGGGGGAGACAGAGTTTAAAAGGCAGAGGAACCTACGGAACATTGCTTTTCTGTCTAATAACAAGTTTTATGACACTTTTCCATGGTCCATGATCTTCGTGCACGAGGAGACTAAGAAAATGTTTCAGGGAGAGTAAGCTAAAGGAATCAGCTTGGGTCAAGAAGCTTCCTTTTTCCTGTTGGCACCATCTGCTGGGCCCATGAGAGTTCCAAGAGGAACCTGACCCCTGGCTGTCTGACTCCCATGAGTCACATTTGGCACACAACACCTCCGCCTTTCCCCTCTTTTAGACTAAGGACTTGCCCAGCTCTCTAGTGGCTACACGCCTGGTGTGACTGTGGGGAGTAGGGGCTGGATGGAAGCAGCGGCGGCCAGAAGTAGGCAGCGGCACCCCAGGGCACCCCAGTTCCTCCCCAGGCTGTGGATGCCCTCCTCATTCTCAGAGGCTCACTTACCCCAGGTCCTGCAGGCACCTTCTGGAGCCAGGGAGCTTGGTGATGTTTCCTGGCTATGTTTCTCTCTTTTTAAAGCCTAATGCTGCTAGTTTATCAAGAGTAATACCCCAAGGTGTTCAAATGAGGTATTTTGGGTGGTTGGTCCCAAATGCAACTGTATATCATGGGAAGTGGGGAGAGGGGAAAGGAATTGGCTTAGAAACACACGTTCTAGGACCGGATGGATTTTCGGTCCTAGATGGTAAAATGTGGTACATTTTACCCCAAATTTAAAGATAATTAACACGAATTCTTCTCAAACTCTTCCCAAAATTGAAGAGGAGGGAACATTTCCTAATTCGTTCTATAGACCAACATTATCCTAATACCAACGCCATAAAAAGACACCACGAGGAAAGACAACTACAGCACAAGTTCTGTTATGAGTATAGATTCAAAATCCTCAAAAAATATTAGCAAATCAAATTCAGCTACATATTAAAAGGATTATATACAGTTACCAAATAAGATTTATTCCCAGAATGCAAAGGTGGTTCAGCATATGAAAATCAATGTAATACATCACACTAATAGAATGAAAGGGGGAAAAAAACCACATGGTCATCTCAACTGATGCAGAAAAAGCATTTGATAAAATTCAACACTCAGTAAACTCAGGATTGAAGGAAACTTCCTCAACATAATA